TAGAGAGAGAGAGAGAGAGAGAGAGAGAAATATAGAGAGGAAAAATGGGGAACAAACCTAAGAACCAGAGCAAGAATCGAAGCTCTCATCATTTCTGATTTCACAGGAGAGCTACAGTGGGGGTAGCTACATACCGAATAGTGAGAGTGAGATGGATGTGGAGGTTAAGGGAGGAGCGTTCGCGGTGATGTGGCAATGGAGGAGAAAGAGAGGGTGACGATGGAAGTAGAGAAGGTGGTCGACGATTAACTTGGAGGTGGTGGCCGGTAACGGAGGGGACGACTAGTATGGCGGATGAACATCGACTAGAGAATTTCAAGTGCAGTGAATGAAGTGCATTCACGATGGATTAGATTTAGGGCTTTTCTCACTTATGATTTATAGAAATGAACCCTCAAGTATATATGTTTATCAACTTTGGTCTAATGGTAAAATGTCTTTTTACTACCGATTCAACAGAAGTTCTAACAAAGTTTGGCAAAAGTACCAATCGTGTTTGATTTTCATACCACAAGGACCATCTGTGTAATGTTTTCTAAAGATATTCTTAATTTGCTACTTTTTAAAAACCACATACACCATTTATGAAATTTTGTCTAAATTATTTATCTTTTAGCCTGTTTTTTATTACAAACTACAAAGTATATCCGTTAGAAGCCGAGTACCCTGTGTGTATGCTGGCTTGCATTTATAGCCACCGAACCTAGAAAATCTCCTTCAAAGACTTCCTGCCGCTACAACTCCTACTAATTCAGACACAGTAACACTCACACAGTCGCTTTCTCAACCTTCTCACAAGCATCACGCATCCGAAGCTTAAAAGCTTTCCCACTTTTTCTGAAAATGGAGGAAGGTCCACAAATTGTGACCAAAAGTGGAGAAGTTGTTGAGGTGATGGACGGTTCAGATATAATGGAGTTAGTTGAGAACGATAAGGTTTTTAGTAACTTCGTCGATCACAAGTTTCGTGACCTCGATCGCGATTGTGACGGACATCTCTCTGTTAAAGAACTTCAACCTGCCGTTGCAGACATCGGCGCCGCCCTCGGTTTGCCTCCTCAAGGAACTTCCGCCGATTCCGATCATATTTACGCTGAGGTAATCTGCTTCATTCTCTTTCTATTTCTATTTCTCCGATCCATAATCAATTAATCACACTTTCATTACTCAAGCTCTCTGTGTGAAATCGACATAGGTTTTTTTGTAGAAATTGCAGCGTTTCTTACGAATATATGCTACTTTTGGAGTTATAATCCTAATCTGTTGAACACAAAATTCGAATTCTATCTGTCGATTAAATAATTTCTTCTTTTGTGCTTGATACAAAACTGCAAAAGTATATATTTGAAGAATTATGGAAATTTTTTTGTATGCTTCAAATGAACTTGAGTGATCGGTGATTTCTGTTCTTAGTATTCCTATCTTCATCCAAAGTAATGGAATAGTTTTGTTAGTTTAACAAAGTTCACATTCAGATCTTCGAGTTATCGAGTTCTAAGATAAGAGAAATTATCTAAGTTGAAAAAAAAAAAAGTAAACTGTCACATCATAAATTTTGAGCTGTTGGAATCAAATGAATATGCATGATTAAGTTTCCATAAATATATGGACGGTGAACTACTCATTATTATTTCAAAACATAGTAATAAATTGCATTGATTAAATAAATAAATATATATAAAAGACCATGTGCAAAGTGCAAACGCACTTGCTCTTAAATTGAATTTTGGTAAAAAATAAAAATGATCGCATAAATGATAAATCACTTTCTCTGTTCAAATGCCCTGATGTTGTACATAATCTGAGGAAATATTAAGTCTACAAAATAAAAAGAAGTGACACACCAATCCATTCATATGGTACCCTAGGTTTCTACTTTCTACAAAGGGCAAAGACAAGAAATAACAATGTACTTTCATTTATTTGTTTATTATAGCATCTTTTATTTATTTTTTCTATTATAACATTATATTTTCAAACTTTTCTTATTAAATCATTGTATTTCAATTTTTTTTTATTAGGATACCATACTTTGAAAATTTCATCCAATTATACCAACTAAAGTTGCTTTGTATATTGATTATATTGCTATAGTTCGATAGCTTTTTAATGTACAATTTTTTAATAGGGAAAAAAAGTCAAAAGTTCAAATATCCAATTCAACCTATCCAAAAAAGACCCAACTGAGCTACAAAATCAAAATGTAACATGCTCAAAGAAACCCACTCTTGAGTATATAGAGGTTTAGCATCTGGGCAACTAACCATAATTTATTCCTTAACTATAAAGCCCATGGGCCTATTATATGAATTTATAAGCCCAATGATTTAGGAAAACTTAAACTAAAAGGCTTGTTTAGTAAATTGAACACTAGTTAGGATCATGTCTTTTGAGTTTAATGCCAAAATTGTCTTAATGGTTGTACTTCGGGTTTCTAAATACTACTAGAGTTTTCTTATTTAGATTTCTTTAGTAAAAACTTCATCATGTCTTCGTGAGTGGGTTTTATCTTTATCTTTTGTCCCAACATTATATTGTTGACTATGTACTTGAAACCCACACATTGACGGTGGTTAGTAATTAATGGGCGGTATGCACTTTGCATCTTTTTGGGCCCACCTATACAGTGGTTCGGATCCAAACCCATGTAGGGTTGGGTAATTGTTACCTAAACATGACAAAGAAAGTATAAGTATATTTTAAAATTATCATGTAGGGCCAGAGTTTGTTACAAATTACTAAATGGTCAAGCACTTTATACAATAAAGCATGCCTAAAAGTTAGGTGTTTCAAGACAAGTGAGGAATGTTTTGGGCCCACTAAAGATGTGATGTTATGTGTTTTAAAATGTAAAAGATAAAAAGAACAAGCAACTTTCTGTTATTGCTGACAAGATCCCACAATGGAAGACAGTAGAATGGTGTACAAGAAAAAAACAACAAAAAGCTACCTTTTTTTATTCATTTTTTTAGGTTAATTGACTGGTATATCAAACCATATCACTTTCACTAATTTAGATAAACCATTTTCTTTGTCAATTTGGTCATTAAACCTAGAAAATCTCAACGTACTTCAATTAATTTATGTGTTATAGCGTCCTCCTTTTTTTTTTTTTTTGATCTATTTAAATTACATGGTACTTCTAATTTTTTTTTCTTATTAAGGCATTGTAATTCGACAAATGTTATATAATAATATGAAGAAATCAAAGTAGGATGCTACAATAAACAAATCAATCGAAGTACTTTGCTATTTCTGGCATTTAACCTTTTAATGAAAACATTCTTTACAAGTATTAGTATTTAATACAGTAACCACATAAACAAATCTTGAACCTAATTTTCTCTAACTCTTATTTTTCCATTTGTCAGGTTCTTAGTGAATTCACTCATGGTAAAGATTCCAAAGTAAGCAAAACCGAATTCAAGAAAGTTCTTTCAGATTTTCTCATAGGAATGGCTGCAGGTTTAAAGAGAGACCCCATTGTTATTCTACGCATAGATGGGGAGGATCTACTTGAATTCATTGAAAGCCCGAGTTTTGAACCAGAAATGATGTCCATATTTTCAGAGATTGATATTCCAAATGGGTCTCTTACTGACTACATTAACAAGGCTTTTGAGAAACTTACTGTAGATAAAGGGATGCCTCCAGTTTTAGATTCATGGGTAATTCTTTTCTTTCATCAAAATTATTAATCTCTTTTATTATTGGTATATTTTCATGTTGTAATAGACACAAATGAAAGTATGTTGCTGTTTTTCGTAACCCTCTTTTTCTTAGGTTACAAGTAACATTATAACACCCGCACTACAGTCATGTGGTGTTTCTCAAGAGAAACCTGTTTCTCAAGACGTGTTTTTACCAGAGTTTAAGAAGGTTTCAGAGACTGTGGCTCAACGTCTCAAGGAGCATCCTGTTATTGTTGCTCACAGTGAGAACACTTTTGATGGAACCGGGGTTAGGAGACTGTTATCTAACAAGTTTGAACTCGAAAAGGTATAACAGGTTGTACTGTGTTTTTGTTTGGTGGGACTCAAACTACTGTTATTTAAACAAAATTACAACTTTCAGTAATATCATGACATGTTATGCGTAACATGACATGCCATGACATGTCTTGTCATGACATATCATGACAAGACATGACATGCCATGACTTCTCTTGTCATGATATGTCATGACAAGACACGACGTGTCTTGTCATGTCTAATAAATGCAACCTAAAGGTTGCAGTATTAGTTCCCTATTTCTAGCAATTATATGTTATTTAAAAGCCTCTTCTTACCACATAACTCTGTAATTTAGACTCTAGATACGACAGTGAAGACAATGCCAAAAGATCAAAATGGGAAAATCTCCAAGGACTGTGTACGCCTGGCACTTGATTTCTTGGCTTCTGCAGCTGGTTTGCCACCTTTGGGTGCTGTGTATCAGATAGATGAGGTTATAGCCGAATCATGCAAGATGTTAGACATGGATGATGGAAAGCTTGTGAAAGAAGAAGAGTTCAAAAAAATACTGACTGAACTACTTGGAAGCATTATGCTGCAATTAGAAGGAAACCCGATCTCAGTTTCCACAAACTCAGTGGTTCATGAACCTCTAGCTTCAGCTTCCACTCTCTTGCAACCTTTGTCTATGTAATGGTACAACTTACAATGCTTTATGTACTACTACTACTTTCATATGAACTTATAGAAATAACAAGTAAAAGTCAATGTACAATCATGAATGCCTCTGGTGCAATCTTGTTTAGCATTTGGTTGTACTGGGAGAGCCATGAGTAAGGTTTAATTAAGTGTATGGTTTTATGTGTAACTTGTAATGACCCTAACAGTCATGTAATTCAAAAAGGGATACGGACTTGTTCCATGTTCATGATGGTGCATCTTTTCTTAATAAATATATAGTCTCCATAAATTGTAGTCTGAATGATTTTTAACAAAAAAAAAAGCACTTGGGGAATGGAAACAGTAAATGAATGTACTTTTGTAAAAAGTTTGGATGCAATGGGAAGATTTGTGTGTGTGGATTATTTATTATTTTTTTTTTGGAAACCGAAAACATGCAATAAAAAAGATGACACACACAACTAGCAAGGAGCTAGATGAGAGCGCATCAAAGAGATTACAAAATACACGAGAGCGGGGAGCAGCTCCAATATACCCATTTACATGCACCGAACCCACCCCTAGCATCAAAGATGGTCGTTTTGGTGAGTTTATGCCTTCCAAATTGTTTTAGGTAGAAGGCTAATGCCTTATATATAGTTTTCTTCAACCTAGTTTGTGTAGCACATAAGAGTATACGATGCATCGTATTTTCCATCTATACGCGGTGTGTACTACGACTTTGATCCATATCACTCTTTGGTCATTATCTGCTCCATTTGGCTTTCTTTTTGCTCATCTATAGATTTATCTACAAAATATCAATTTGAAGCATTATAATTATTATTTATATTCAAATATATCAAAACATAGCTTATAATATTAATATATTACACGAAATATTTGTACAATTATAGCAATATCATTAGACAAAAGTTGATAATGTACTACAAGAATTGGTAGCGCATCCTCAAGTAAGAACCTAATGCTTCCCTATATGATGATAATGTATCTAGATATTATTATTTTTGTGTTGTGTGAAAGATATCATTGGTGATAAGGTATCTAGATATGTTATTATTTTTGTGTTGTGTGAAAGATATAATTGTTGATAAATAGTTGATGATTATTGCTAAATGATATAATAAGCTTTTGTAGCTACGCACCATAGCTAATTATTCTTGAATGATTTCTCTAACTGAAAACTATAGTTAACTATTGTTGTATGACATAGCAAGTCTGTATACCTGAAACCTAAAGTGGGATATTGCTGAATGACATGATAATATTTTGTAGTTGAAAACTATATCTGATTATTGTTGAAATTTTTATGTCCATTTCACTATTTGGTCTCATTTAACATATAATAATAGTAAAATACTACTATCTATATGAAAAATGGGATGAAACCCCTAGGAAAAACAATATAGTAACTATTTTATAATTGAAAACTATCGACGATTATTATTGAATGATACAATAAATCCTTTGTGACTGAAAAATAAATCTTTTGTAACCATTCACTATGACTAGCGTCTTCGGGTAACTAACCTAGTGCTATTTTTTATAACTTAACCGGTGAAAGCTAGAATTAGTTGTTTTTGAATGATATGTGAAGCTTTTGTAATTAAGAACCATTGTTGACAGGTGTTTTGAACAAAAATGGGAGCTTTTGTGGTCGTAACACCATAGTTAATTCACTACAAGAAAAAAGGGTAATAGCGGCAACAAAAGTTGCCGGTAAAGACTATCGCCGGTAAAGGTAATAGCGGCGACACGTCGCCGGTAAAAAGTCGCCGCTACCGCCCTGTCGCTATTGATCAAAATGTCGCCGGTAATAATCATTGTCGCCATTAATTCATTTGTCGCCGGTAATAACATTTTTCATTTTTTAAACTTTTTTTAATCAACGATTTTGGTGCAAAAATCCCGATACATAACGACATTAAATGCAGAAAAAAAAATTACATAGTATCGAATTAGGTACCAAATAGTGTAACGACATTATATATAATTAATTTCATACCATAATAAACAACCAAAGTTTTATAATTACAACAAGCTAGTAGCAAAATGTCACGACAAGTCTAACATACATGCCGGGTCGTTGAGCATTGTCCGAAGATTTTCCAACTACATAATAAATAACAACATATATAAACTTATAAGTTAAATTATCAAACCAAATCAACATGCATTTCTTTATGTCCAAGTATATTGCTATTTTTAAACTAGGGACAAAAAACCAAAGTAAATTGCTATTTCTTGCACTTAAAACATAAACACAATTAACAAATCAACATGCATTTATTGATGCCAAAGTACATTGCTATTTTTAAGCTAGGGACAAAAAACCAAAGTACATTGCTATTTCTTGCACTTTAAACATAAACACAATTACCAAATCAACATGTATTTATTGATCATTATATAGATATATGAGACTTTGAAATTAAATAATCTACTCTTTTTGTGCTAAAGAACCTTAAATACAAGAAATACCAAAGTACATTGCTATTTCTTGCACTTAAATACAAGAAATACCAAAAGTACATTGCTATTTCTTGCACTTGGGACAAAAACACAATTACCAAATCAACATGCATTTGTTGATGCCAATGTACATTGCTATTTTTAAAATAGGGACAAAAAACCAAAGTACATTGCTATTTCTTGCACTTGGGACAAAAACCAATTACCAAAGCTTTTAGCAAATAATCACCACAAACCAAAATTACAAAATCAATATGCATTTACTGAAATTAAATAATCTTGTTTTACATGTGATGGCTGTGTTGACTGTGGTGGTGGCTGCGATGGTTGTGCAATCGGCGGGATAGCAGAAGGTTTGTGGCTGATGCCTCTTATATGACCATGTCGTTCACCTAATACTCTCTCGAAAGTAGCTATTTCTTGAGCGATTGTTAACTCTCTTTCACATCATGGCCCTTGCGTTTGTTCTAAGAGCTCTTCCACTAACCGATTCAGTGTTTTCCAAAAGTGATTAACAATTAAGTGTAAACAAACACTTAATTATATGATATAATTATAAGTAAATACTTACGTATTGTTGTTCTTCCGTGACACTAACAAATACACCATTCCTATTGACGTGAACCTTGCCAAACGTTTCCACTCTCTTCAGGTTCTGTTTAACATTAAAAATTAGATTATATTAGAAAAAATAATTACAAATATCGTACGTTACCTTCTTATAGCAAGTACTGCTATACGAGCTCGACCCACCACGGTTCACGGTAGTTTACATTTCACAGACTTTTTTGTTCCTTTCTGAAGCAGCTATGTGTTCAGCCGTTTGAAAATACTCAATTGTTTTCCTCCAATTATCAACCTCCATATCATGTGGGGGGTTGGCTAATGCTCTCGGGATATCCGCATACCCTCCGACTTGCAAAAGCTATTCTTTTGCATCAACTTTACGGTTTCGATAATCTTTTAACAAAGCCGCTTCAAAACTCTCTAACAACATAGCAACGTCTGGATCCTGGGACATCCCATCCAAATCAAACTTTGTCTACAAAAACAAAAAACGTAACCCAAGTAAAAACCATTCATAATTAACCATATAAATTATTCTTATATAAATAATTTACCCATAAATGTTGTTTTACTGTATCCTTTATCGTGGGTGGAAACTTTTTTCCAAGTCCATTTATCGAAAGGGACCATCCGCCACATTATTTTCCCAACTTCGCGTGCAAACATGCCCTTCGGCTCTCCTACATGATCATATGTCATATCCCTATCATAGTCCATGTCAATCGGTTGGCCCTTATTCCATAAGAGCGCTCTTTCGAGCTTAAGGTTTTTCACTTTTCCTCGGACTCTCCTGTGTGGCACAACTACAAATATAATTAAAAATTATTAGAAACGGTATTTTATAATAACCGAATAAAAATAGTAAATAAAAATTCATAATAAGACTTACCATCCTACTCATGATGACCAACACCTCTACCGCCTGGGAAATGTAGGTCCTCAGCTCCATCACCCCCATGTCCACGGCGCAGAACAACAACCATGGTGTACAAAAACAAGAGCCATTTCGACATCATTTTCCTGCAAAACTATAAGATATATAGATGCAATTTCTATTACAAATACACAATACATAGAATCCTACTTTATTTGTTTTTTTTACAATCCTACTTTATTTTTTTTTATACAAAACATAGCATTCTCAATAATAGCATCCTACTTTATTTGTTTTTTTTTCAATAAAAGCATGTTACAATAATAACATTCTCAGTAATATCATTCTACAAAAAATACACATTATACACACATACAATCCACATTACATACAAATACACATATACTTTAAATATCATTATCAAAATAGCATCCTACTTTATTTGTTTTTTTTTTTTTTTCAATAATAGCATCTTACAATAATAACATTCTCAATAATAGCATCCTACAAAAAATACACATTATACACACATACAATCCACAATACATACAAGTACACATATACTTTAAATATCATTATCAAAATAAGATCCTATTTTATTTGTTCTTTTTCCACTATAGCATTCCAATATACACATTACATACAATCCACATTTCATACATACATACAATCCATATTTCATAGATAGAAATATAAAATATACACACATACATACAAATACACATATACACACATATACCTGAATAATATACACATACAATATTCCACATTCATTTTTTGCATGAATACAAATACACATTATATATACACTCACATACATATATCATGGAAATACACAAATATATACCAAATATACACACATATTGCTAATTTCACATAATAGACACAAATACACACATTTCTCAAATAATCTTGAGATTAAGGGAGAAATGAACCTGTGGTGGCCGGAAAATCAACAAGATGCTGCAGTGGTGGGGGTAATCGATCCAGTGACAACAACAACTTAAAAAAACTAAAATCGATGTTATTTTTTTATTTTTTTATTTTTATTTTTTTATTTATTTATTTTTTTTTTGCAATTAACTCAACTCTAAGGTGGACATCGATATTACTAGAGAAAGAGAAAGAGAAATTAGGAAGGAATTGTACCTTAGTTGCCGGAGAAGGTACTTCGTCAGTGATGGAAAGGCGTCAGCGGTAAATGGAGATGGAACCGGTGGAAATCCAAAGTCGAACCGGTGATGAAAAGGCATCGCAGATTACCAGTATCAGAAGAGGGAAGATGGAATTGATCGAGAGAGAATGGAAGCAGAAAAGGGAAGAAAGAAAGCTACAAAGGAGTATATATGCGATGACTTTTACCGACGACACGAAAG